GGCAATGGCCTCCCGGCGAGCTGAGGCTATTCGCTCCGCTCCCCTCCTTGATTGCCTTGTCTATGTCGCTGCGAAGGCTTCAGAGTCTCAGGAGATGCTGGCAAGTCTTTGAAGCCGCGGTTGCTTAAAAAAAACGCGGCGAGGCTAGGGCGACATGACAAACTTTCTCAGCTGCGGCAAGGCTGTTAAGACCATGGTGGGGCTTTAAGTAGCGGCGAGGCAATCCCAGCGGCATGGTTTTGCAACTGCAGTTGCAGCCCCTGTGATCCTACCTGATGCCAAATAGTTCGCCATGGAGCCTCTAGGATTCTCGGCTGCAATGGGAGCCCGTCACCCCTGCACATCCAGGAGTTGGGCCAAGCCCCCTCAGGCCCAGAGGCAAGGACCGGGAAGCCCTGCTTCCTTATGAGACTGACTATCAGACTCGATGGCCGGCAGTCCAATAATTTAAGAATTTAGAATACCCAATTAATCAAATTAAACATAATAACTATCAGTACCCCAAGGAACCAAAACTAGTGCTTGGACCAGAGACTGAGAGGAAACTGGGAGCCAGTAGGGAAGGATGGTGTCTTTAAGAAAATTCCCTCAGTCTCTGGACCAATCAGGCTGTGACTAAACCCAGCTGTAGCCCCTCCCGCCGAGCTTCAGGAAAAGGGGGCATGCAGAGAGTTTGAGAGGCCTGTAAAGTGCTCCTGGGGGCCGGGGAAGGCAAAAATGTGATGCATGGGGGGTTTGGGAGGTGAAAACCATGCCCGTTTTTCACAAAACCAAAGCATGCGAGGGTGTGGGAGGCCTGTAGAGTGCTCCTGGGGGCTGGGGAAAGGCAAAAAAGGCCTGTTTTTTGTGGAAACGGGCCCAGTTTTTGCAAAAAAAGGAGTGTGCAGAGAATTTGGAAGGCCTGCAGAGACTTAACCAGCAGGTGAAGCTGTCCTAACACCCCTGTTGTCATGTGATCATGATCTGGGTGCTTGGCAACTGTCTCATACTTACGATGGTTGCAGCATTCTATGGTTACATGATTGCTCTTTGCAACCTTCTCTTCTAATTTCCCACAAGCAAAGTCAAGCTGGCAGAGAAGGTCACAAGTCACTCCTGCCAATTTTACTCCAAGGAACCCACTATGTAGGACCTCATATTCTATAGAAGCACATGCCCACAGCAGCCCCCTACCCACCCTCCATAGTCTGCATGCATACACAACTGCATTCATGCAGCCGTGCAATGCCCTTTCCTGCATTTGCCCTGTGTTGTCTCTTTCCACTACCCAGTCTTCTGGTGCTGCAGCACCCACACTCCACCCAGTTATATCCATAGCACTCATTTGCCTGCCTGCTTCTGGGACTTACAACTTTCTGCTGGCTTCCCTGTTGACTTTGCTTGGAAACAGGTGGTAAGCCACAAGTAATGTCATGTGAGGTTCTCACTTAACAATCCACAATCTTCATTTAACAATAGCAACTGAGACTGCTGGAACTGCTGTTGCTAAGTGATGTGATTGCTTGATGTTGCACTTTATGCAACATGCATCACATAGGGATAGAATTTATATTGTATCACTTAGGGACAGAAATTCTAATCCTCAGAATTGTAATTAAGCAAGGACTACCTATAGATAAGTGTTGTGACTCAGCAGCAGCTTGCTGTGAGTTGCATCGGGATGCAGGAATAATGAGCAGCTGTTGCTCGTTAGGGTCGTCTTCTGCAGATAAAAGACAGATGGTGCCATGCCTTAGTGGCAGAAGTCAATGTTTGTGGTTCGTGGTTCATCGTGGTTTGTTCGTGAGTTCAGTTTCGTGATTTAAAGAGGCACTTAGATAAGCGATTTGCTTTCTGTCAACCTAGTTTGCTGTAAGAGCTTTTTGTTTTTCTTTTGCTGTGTAAAGTTTCACCAGAGACTTTATCTACATTTATTTTTGAGTTCGCAGCCAACTTGAGCCAAGACTGATAAAGACATTCTTTTACAAGCCTTGTCTGACTGTTGTGTGTGTAATAGCGAAGAGGGGGGGGTCAGAACAGATAAGTAACTATTGTGGCCTTATGGGTAAACTGTTCCACAGCAAACAAGTACAATTGAAAAGATCTCCTTCTGGAAGCCCACCTCGTTCACATCTGGAAAGAAGGACTCTATAGCATATATTGGACAGGTACAATATACAAGGAAATATACAAGGAAAATATGGGCCTTGAAGCAATGAGGACTCAAACTATATGGGACTTTACAGGTGACCACCAGCACTAGAAGCTCTGGCAACCAATGCAGCTTCTGTAAGGCTTCTTTTTCTTGTCCCAGCTTTCACCTGTCAGCATCCAGCTGTTTATACCAACTGAGCTTCCAAAATATCTTCAAGGTAGCTTTGAAGCCAACTCAGTTAATCAGACAACAGATGATCTGAGTTATAATTGATAGTGCCTCTTGATCCTGGAAAAGAATCACACCTAAAGCTGATGACACAGCTTTAGTTGGATAATTGCTCTCCTGACCTGGCCTGTGCCTGTTGAACTAGCATATAAGTATGATCTTTATTGTCATTGTACTTAAATACAACAAAATTGGTTGTATGCACTAAAAGAAACAGTAGCATCCTACCCAAATCTAAAGATGGTGCTATCTTGAGATCTGATGATTTCTGCAGAAACAGCACCTCCAGTTTTTAAAGATTCAGCCTAAGCTGGTTTCATACCAACCACTTTCTCATAGCCTTCAGGCACCAATTCAAGCCTTCCACTGCCTATTCTCTATGGCCTGAAGTAAAGATGTAGAAATAGGTGCCATCAGCTCCAAGAGAAATTTTCTCTTGCTGCTACTTTTTACTATACTGCTGAGGTGTTTTCTTTGAGTGGAAGTTTCTTTTTCCAAATCACTGCTGGCCAACAGGTTTAACTTCTTTCTTGCAGCACCCAGAGACCTACTTGCTTTCAGTTTCCTTTCTATAAAACAAACTCTCCAACTAAGGAGAGGGTGGGGCTGTCTTAAACTTCCTTCCCAGGTAGCACCAAAACTCTGGATCCCAGGAGGGATGAAATATCTGCTCACTCCAGGTGGTGAGCTAGTCGTAACTTATAAAGCCCTTCATGGTATTGGACCTGGGTACTTGAGAGACCGCCTGCTGCCAATTACCTCCCACAGACCCATTAGATCTCACAGGGTTGGCCTCCACCGGGTTCCGTCTACCAGCCAATGCCACCTGGCTACCACCCGGGAAGGTCCTTCTCTGTGGCAGCTCT